ATCCTGGCAAAATTTCAAGTTTGACATCACATGTTAATACTGCAACTAAAAACCGCATATTCTGTGGGAACAGAAATTCCTAAAATCATTTTAGAGAGTAATTCAGCAATTTCTAATTAAGGTGAAAACAGATATACTCCACAACTCAGCAGTTCTGTTCCTAGGTATATCCTCTAAGGAAATGTCTGTTCATGTGCACAAGAGTATTTATAGAAGCAGTTTGTAACAGAATAAAACAACTGGACATAATCTAAATGTCTATCAACAGAATGGAGAATAAGTATGATATAAATGTAATACTGTACTGTAGTGAAAATGAATGAAACAGATCTAAACATTTTCAAAATGAATGAACCTCACTAGCAAAATAAAAAACAATTACTAACCCAAGAATATATATTATTCATAAAATGTTTAAAATATCCAAAACAGGACTTCCCTGGTGGTCTAGTGGTTAAGACTGTCGCTTCCACCGCAGGGGGCCGGGGTTCAACCCCTGGTCGGGGAAGTTCCGCATGCCGCGCAGTGCGGCCAAAAACGTTAAAAAAAAAAATCCAGAACAATACTACACATACCGCTGAAGATTACACATATATGTATGAAAGTATAAAGACAGACCTGCAGGGGGATGATAAACACCAAGGCCAGGAAGGTGGTTATCTATGGAAGGCAGCGGGTTGTTCTATATCTTAACTAGAGTGTTATATACATAGGTGTTCATTATCACTACTCTTCCACTTTTCCGGATGTCTAGAATGTTCCACAATTTTAAAAAAGAGCAAGGAGCGAAACAGTGTAATATGTGTTTGTGTTAAAAAGAAAAACAGAAGGGGAAATCATACACACAGCCACCTATAGGTAGCTCCGGAAGGCTCCTAAAGGAGCTGGTACCAGGCTGCCTCTGGGAAAGGCCCAGGGGACAGTGGTGGGAGGGAAACATACTTTTTACTCTATGCACTATTACACCGATGGAACTTGTTTACTGTGTGCAGTTATTATCTGAACAGTTCACCGCCATTGAGGGATGGGGAAACCAGACTGGGGCGGGGAGTGGAGAACAGACTTACCCCAGGTACCATGGTTAGGGACAACCAGCCTAGAATCTGAGTAGTCAGGTTACCAGGAACCAGCCCGGATGTGCTGGGCTGTTCTGTTAAAAACTGATGTATAAACCAAGAGTTTGGCTGCCTAGCCAAATTCTTTCCCACCTCCCTCCTAATGGCTGACTACCTACCCTAGTTTGTTTTCTGATCTGGTAATTATGTCCAACATAACATACTTACACGTCAATTTAATTTTGTTTGTTGTTAAATTTACAACATCCCATGAAATGAAAGAAGGCAGGAGACATCACAAAATCAAGGGCGGAGACTGATTTTGTCCTTGTGCTGGTGGGACAAGGACATTAACAAACATGGTATTGTTTTTTTGTGGCTTAACAACAAACCCTATAGTACTTATTTACCTATGCCTTGTCGTACAGTAAGTTATTAAAGCATCACATTATTAAGCCCATTGTACAGATGAGGAAGCACAGTTGAAGAAAACTGCCCAAGGTCAGTCAATGATGTGATAAAGCTAAACTTCTATTCTACAGTATCATCTCACTCCCATCATAAAGAATTAGAAATTCCGCAAGAAAACATGGAATTTTGACAGGTTATTTTTCAGTGCATAGGCCATTACCCAAGGCCAAAATTCAGGTTATTTTCTGGAACTTCACGGAACAAAAGTAAAGCAATGAGTGCTTTCGCCAACAAACTGTTCATCCCAATCACTGTATTTACCATCAGTTTTAAAATGATTTTAAAAAAACAAAAAACAAAACAGGCAGGGCAGGAAAATCCAGACCCTCCTCCCAGGAGGCAGAAGCAGATAACTGGTGGCGGAAGCAAGGCTTAGAGGACCTAGAATGCCCATGCTAGAAGACTGCTTCCAGAAGCTGCAGTGCACACTTGCCCAAGTGGCATGGTCTTGGCCCTGAGAGCTTCCCATGCCTTATTAGGTACTTTCCCCAGCCAGCAACACCCTGTCGCCCTTCCTCGTCCCCATTCAGTTAAGCCACAGCCCAGCCGTTCCAGCTTCAGAGCCCAAGAAAATGGAGGAGCAAGTTCTCCTTCCCCATCTAGAAAAATCCTGACCACCTGATCTAATACGCTTCAACTGTCGTAAGAGGTATTGGATACACCTTGTTAAATGCAATTAAACCACTTACCAAATCCTTGTTATTTTCAGAGTAAAGTTGATGATTGACTAAAATTGCTAAACAGGGGAATTATCCAAATTCCTGGCAGGTGAGAACTGGAGTTGTTGACATTCAGCAGGCTGTGCTATACGTTCATGTCTTGCATCTTAATAAAAATAAGCTATCAAATGAGTATATATATTTGTACATGACACATTCTAGCATCCCTAGAGAGCTACCTGCCTCAGTGGCGGGTAAACACTATTCAGCTGGTTAGCCTCTACACAGGTGGCAGTAACAGGGGCAGCTAAGTTTCAGGGAATAGGTACCACATCCCAGGCACCAAGCCACTTGTTTTATACTGACCACCTCATTAACACCGGGCCTGCCTTTTTCCACTAGAGGAATCACCCAACAGTATGTCCTTACTATATGATCCCATTTATAAAAAGCTCAAAAACAGTAATTAGGTTCTTACATTTTCAGTGCTAGAAGCTAACAAAGCGGTTTCCTTCGGGGCAAGTTAGATAGGGTGAGTGGATGGGGAGGCACAGGGGCTTCTGGATGCTCCTCCTTTACCTTGGGGGCTGCTTACAGTGGGCTCGTTCACTCTGCAGGAATACCTCAATCTGTACACTTAAAAGGTGCATGTTTTCTGTATGTAAATTACAGCCCCATAAGTTTGTAAAGTTAAGCACTTGGTGTTGATGGAAGGATAAAGAGCAAGCACTGTCAGAACTCCTGGGTTCTGATTCTGACTTCCCCAGTAAATGGCCTACGATTTGGGGGAGTCATTTCTGGGGGGCCTGAGTGTCTTCACTCCTAAGAGGTTAGAGGAGATACTCTCCAATTCTCTCAGTATACCATCACTGCCATTTCTTTTCCAGGTGGAGAAAAAAGAGGGGCAACTGGATGAGTAGGAAAATAACTCAAGAGCAAAAGTCTCTACCACCAGGACATCATTAAAACACAAAGCATAAAGCCTCTCCAGATTCAGGATGACACTCTCTGGCGCCACACTGGAACAGCAAGTTCTAAGCTCTCAGGGAGCAGATGACGGCTGCCGTCACTAGACACCTTCGTTAACAAGCTCACTATCAATATTAAAAATTTTAGGAATACATTTCCAAAAAGCTACACTGGGGCCAGAGCTGTCAAGGCAAGCGGGCACTCATATATTGTGTTCAGAGCATGACCTTGGCATAATCCTAAAGGCTGGGCAGCAAGATTAGAACAAGGCCATTATTACACACTCCTATTTACCCAAGTGTTCAGGGAAAAGGGTATCTAGTTTAACTTAACAGTCTGGTTAGCCATACTCCCATATATACCAGAGGAGGATTTTACATTTCCAAACAATTTAGTCCTTTTTGTGTGGGTTGAGTGTCAGAACTCTTAAGGGTCTCGTGAGGAGTGAGTCACTGCTAGTAAGAACAGTTTGATACTGAAAAACAAAAAACTCGTTTTCAATCAGTATAGAAAATTTAGAGACTAGCATTACTTTATCATACTGACTATGGAATAAAAGCAGTATCAACCCCAGCAAGAAAGTTTCTTTGCTGACTATAAAACCAAAAATCTTTCTTTACAAGTTGATTGCCTTTCATAATCCACAAGTAAAGCAAGTTTAGGAGCTTGGTTTAAGGTTAAGACACATTCGTGGAAGTTGCTGAAAGCTAACATGAGAAAAACACCTTAAATCTATCTCACCTATAAATATCTTATTTGATTCCCATCAGCTCTGTCATCCATTACATTACTGTCTATTAAAATTTGGATTGCTGCATGAGTTAGAATGGAAGCTAGCCCTTAGATTACAGTTAACTAGAAACAGAAACTGAGGACGGGCCTGAAGATCAGGTTTATTGCCCTCAGTGGGCTATTACCAGAAAACATCCAGATTTGGGATCCTCTGTGTATTTAAATTAAAATCTGGCTCCTAGTCATTCAACCTCACTCCTTTCCCTTTACCATGATGATTTAGATGAGGTTAATGAAGGCAAGAGTTGAGGGTGGAGGGTTGGTCTCGATAACATGGGAAGGGCACGGGACCCCTCCTAATTCCAGGAAGGCAGTACAGCTGGTTCCCAAGCATTGGCTACATAACCTGCGATGATTTTAACAACCGTCAGTACTATTTCAGGACCACAACGTCTCAGGTACTTAGATTTTCCCCAAAATAAAGGTCACTGCCAAAACCTGCCAATGGCCATGCAAGATGAAATGAGGGCTCCATTGCAAACTCATCAGGACCACAAAAACCCCGTATCATCTTCAAGATGTAGGATCAAGAGTAAATATATATGCAAAGATAAACATCAATACAGAAGATATACTTAGGTGCTTTCTGCAACTTCAATACTCTTAAAAACTGGGGCAAGTGAGGCCAAGGGCCAAAGTCTATCCAGAAGTTGGGGCCCCAGTCCATCTCCATGACGTGCGTCCAGCACAAGCACGACACAGCTGCAGGAGGGGTCACCCTACAGGCCCACCCCGAGAGCTGGACCGGCAGCTTAAGGGAGCCCCAGTCCGCCAACTCAGGCCGTGAGGAAGACGCTACTTCCCCGGCCCCGCCCGCCTCGCACACAAGCCCGACCCCAGCCCCTAAGCAGCCAGGCTCCCAACCGCCTCCCGCCTCCAGCAGCCCCTCCGCCGCCCAGCAGGTACCTGGCTCTGCGCAGGCGCCTGCGCAGTGCGCGCCCCTCACTAATCCCTATGGGGAGCAAAGGGGCGAGGCCCGGTACAACCCGCTCCGGGACTAGCGGGCTGCGTCCTGCGGGGTCCCCTTCCCCAGGTTGGGGGTCCCAGGGCTTACCCGCGCCCAGGAGGCTGGCCAGAACCAAGAAGGAGTACATGACGCCTCCTGACTCCGCAGTCAGCCTGCAATGCAGAGCGTCAGCTGATCCTCAGCGAATATAAACGTGCCCCGCCCCAAAGCCGCCCACCGCGCAGGCGCAAGCTCTGTCCCGGCCGGGCGGCCCGAATTCTCCCCGCAGCCTGACTCAGCGCCGCACAGGGCGCCTGCGCAAAAGGAAGGCTGGGAGGTGGGAGGAGTGTGGAGGACGAAAGGATTGAAGGAGCATGGGAGGAGGATAAGGAGATGGAAGGGAATGGAGAGGTCATCAAAGAATACATAAATGAAGAAGTCAACCTCACCTTTTTTCTATGAAGTACCATTTTCTATTATTAGTACCATTTTTCAGTTGAGAAGCCGTACTCAAAAAGGTTATCTACTTTTTCTAAGCTCTCACAGTTAAAACTCAAACTCACCACTTGACCCACGCTGTCTCTTAAATGACGTTCATAGTATTTTCGTGGCTGGGCCAGCGTGTAACTTCATTCTGGGTCCTGACTTTCCCTCTTAGCATTTCATATCCACAATCCCTTCTCCCCATGACTCACAGACAGGTTTTTCAATGTTAGATATGTAGGGTTTCAGAACAGGTCTCTGAGATGTGGTACTTTGGCATGTGGATTCTTTTGGCTAAAGGCAATGGAGAGCCTGTGGGCTCAAGAGGAATTACTGCCCCTCCCTTAACTACCTAGAAGAATTTAAATGGGGGATTTTTCCCAGAAAAGGTGTTATTACCAGGAACAAATTTTATCTAAGTGACCCCATCTATACGGCAGAGCAGACACCTAATTACGGAAAAATCTGCTCTTCTTATCTGCCTGTGGATGACCCTCCTGTCCTTGGAAGCCCCAGGCCCCTATCCCATTTCTTAGCTCAGCATGGTGTATACACCTCATTTTACCTCTCTGTCTCTGACCCTCTCGTGTCTGTGGGGTTCCCACACATATGAAATTAAATTTTATTTTCTCCTGTTAATCTGTGTTACATCATTTTAATTGTTTGACCAACCAAAAAGAACCAAAGAAGGGAAGGGAAATTTTCCCCTTCCCAAAATATGCAAACACTCCCAAGGCCCTCTCATGGTTTGTCCCAGAGTTGGAGGGAGTGGAGGAAAGGGATTGAGAAGCAAGATGGGGGAGGATAGAAAGTGTCTGAGCCGTTGGAGAAGGAAACAGAGAGTGAAGCCTGAATTTGAGAATCAGGCTAAAAATCAGCCAGGGGCCTTTATGGAGAAGGAAGCTGCCCACCCTGTCTAGCCCTCAATCCTCACCTTACTCCAGAATAAGAAAGGCCTGGGTGGCCCACAAAACCACTTGCCTTCTACCTGTGGTTGACCCTCTGGTTCTGAGCAGAGGGATGACCACAACCTCGCTGTCCTCCAAGGGCCAAGTACCTACAAGCCGAAGGGAAAGAAAGGAAGGAAACCTCAGACTTTTAGGGCAGGCCCTTAAAGGTCATTTAGTCCCATTCCATCATTGTACCAATTGGGAAATTGAGGCCTGGAATGGGAGGGACATTTATCCAAGGTTACACCTGACCAGGGAGGGGCAAACCCAGGGTCCCATCCGTCTGTGACAATCTATAATGCTTCCTGAGGAACAGCCCACAGACAGAGGTCTCAGCACCTTTGGCTCAGCTCCTCCACCACCACCCACACAGCGAGGCTTACTTCCCACTGGGGAGCTGGATGGGGAAGTGTGCACCACAGCTGGTGATGTGAAAGAGCTGAGTAAAGTTGGGACAAGATTTGGTCTCAACTGGATGCCTCACTGGTTGGCCTCAATGGCAAGACGGAGGCTGCATGGCTGCCCCATCTGCAGGCTTCCTAAGTCCAGGCACAGCATGGGGCAGATTACCCCAACAGCCAGATAAATGCAAGGGAGGTGGGGTTCTAGGACACAGCCTGGTTCCCAGCTCCTAGCCGATGAAGGAGGCAAAGCATCCCACGCAGAGGTTACAAGACCCCAAGCCAAAAGGAAACTTGGAGACCTTCGGATCACAGGCTCTCACTTGGCCGGAGTAACTGAGCTCTCAGAGCTACTTAATGACAGAGCCTGAACCCACCACGACTCTTTTTAATACCCTCCCCCGCAACTAGAGGGATATGTCCGTGTTTTTGAGATGAACTTTTGCTGCCTTTTATTTGCACACCTGGAACACAAGAGTAATATGTTCCTTCATCCACCCCCTTCCCTGTAAGGACAGAATTTTAATAAAGAATATAGAAGCAGTAAGTGGGTTATTATAATTTTTTACCAAGTCAGTAGATGCTTCAATCCTCTTTAAATACCTTCCTAACCATCTGTGTGTAGGCAACAAGAGCTATGAATCTATTTGGACCCTTTGACCCTATAATACCATTCCTAGCTATATACCTCCCCAAAGACATAATCCAGAGCTAAGAAGTACTTTATCCAAAGTGTTCACAGAATAGCCTTTTGTAACAGTAGAAACTGGAAAGATTTCAAATGCTGAACAATGATGGGCTAGTTAAGGAAATGGGCCGGGACAAAACAACGTTACTTGAAGCAGCTTTGAAGCATGAGGCAGAAGCAGCAAGGTGCCCTTCTCTCTCAGAAGTGGCAGAATTTTCAGAAGAGGAACAAAGAACTGGAAGTGAGAAGAGTCTCCTGATTTGGGGTTTACCCGTCATTGCATTATTTCACTCATTGTAATGTCCACGTTTTACTTCATACTTCTTAAAGAAAAAATTATAGGAAAATTTTTAAAAGATAAGAAAATCCCCTTCTTTTCCTCCCTACTATGAGCTCAAGTTTTCAGGGAACTGCAAAGATATTTTTCCTTGGAAATGTGATCCATACTGGAGACCCTGGCGGGGTTCTTGATGACTTTCCAGTTCTGGGTCCCAGCTCCTCACGAGGCCCCACTTCTAGTGCCTGAGATCTTGTGAGACTCCCACCTGTCAGATGAATAATTCCCCTTCTGGCCCCAGAAAGCTTCCATCTGTTACTGCTTCTATTGTGCAACTGAAAGAGCACTGGGCCAAGACAGCCGATAGAACAGAGGCCTGCACTGTGAAGGCCCAGCCCACATGCCTGGCCCCAAAGCTCCACTCTGGCTCCCCCAACAGCCACCCTGGTCCCACCCTGGAAGAACCCCCTCCCCCCATAACACACCCACACTGCATCTCAGAGAAGGAAGCTCAGGTTCCTCTCCCGCCAGCATCTCCCTCATCAAGACCTCCAGCCTCCAGTCTCTCCTGCCTGCATTTTCCTTTCTGCCTAGTCTGGACCCTCAGGCAACCACTCTAGTAAGCCCCTCCCAAAGACCACTCTCCCCATCAAACTTTAGTCACTCACCTGCCAATTTCTGGCCTCTGCTGTCTTTTCCTCTCTTCCTAGCAGCCCTGGGCTGCTGGAGAAATCAACCATCCCAGCTAGGCTCACAAAACCCTCTGTGTCACTTGGGACGTATTTGGCCCTCCCAGGTGGCCGAGTCTCCTATTGTCTCCTAATATGCTTCGCCTCTTTTCCCTTGATCTTGATAATTAGTAATCAAACCCCCTATTTCTGGCTGCGTACATGGCCACCCAGAAAAAGGACTACATTTCACAACCTGCCTTGCAGCCATAGGACTTCATTCTGGCCAATGAAATAAAAGAACAAGTGCCCATTTTGTGACTTTAAGGTACTGCTCTTAAAAGGAAGAGACACAGCCAGTGCAAATATTTAACAAATGGTACTGCCAGGACACTGACCATAGTGTTGGGGGAATGTCCTGGAAGGTCCCAACTGAGCCAAGTTGTTGTCTTGGAGGGGTGGGTGGTCCCAGGGGATGAGTAAGCAGGGGGATGGGCACCAGGGAGTCAGCAGCTATCTACCAGCAGGTGGTACAGAAGTAGTTCAATAATTTTACTGCTGAACAACACTACTGGTTTGTACCAGCTAAACGTCATCTAAGGCTGCAAACTCTTTTCTTCTTTATGCTGGATTGCAGACATAATGGCAGGAGCTCAAGCATCCATTCTGGGCCATGAGGTAGGAGCCTTGTTAAGGATGACAAAGCAACAAGATAAGAACCTGGATCTCTGATGATTTTATTTGCCCTATATTGTCCACCTCCAGACTATTTATGTAAACACAGCCATATCTTGTTTAAGGTTTCATTATCTTGAGTTTTTGTTACTTTCCAGATCTTCTCAACAATGCTCAAGCCCTGACCTCATCTCTGTCTTCTTCGTGCTCACTTCCTATTTTACCTCTTCCCTTCCATCTCTGAGGAGGAAATGCCTTTTCTTCTCTTTATGCGGCCAAACTGTAGCTGCTAAACCCTCCTGTGCTTTTGTTGATCAGCTCTTGTGACCTCTAGGTTTTTTTATTTTTATTATTCTTTTTATTTTTAGTATGTTTTTTCCTTTTTTTATTCTTTTTATTTTTAATATATTTTTTCCTTTTTTAAAAATTAGAATATAGTTGATTTACAATATTATATTAGTTTTAGGTGTGTCCATTCTTTTTGTTCGTTCCCCATGCCTTACCAGTTGTTAAATATTTTTATTATCATCCCTCTAGCACTTTGCTCCATCCATTGTCCTTTCCTTTTTCATATCTTCAGTCTCCCCCCTCACCGCTGACTCTTCCCCCTCAGATTATAAATACACACAAGGCTCTCCTATCCTAAAAGAAATCTGCTCACCCCTGACTTTCACTTCAGCTACTTTCTCGTACCTTCCCTTCACTTTCCTGCTCCTTGAAACAGTCACCTACACTCACCATATTTACTACTCTCCCTCCAGACTAACCCTAGCCCAGCCCACAGCTCCACTGAATGGCTTTTTGAAAGTAAATGGTAAATTCCTACTTGGAACGTCCACCAGCACCTTCTCATTCCCTTTAGCCTCTGATACTGTTGGTCTGCTCCTCCTTCCTACAACTCTCCCACTTGGTATCCATGACACAGCACCACTCTGCAGGATGCTGGACATCCAGCACAGAAGTCCCCATGCCCACTTCCTCACCCATGATAGACATCACTACTAGAACGTGACTTCAAAGCCTCCTCACTCAGTACTCCAGCTGCTAGGATCAACTGATCCAAGTTGGCTCTTGGAT